CTGAAATGGGTCTCACGGGGTCAAAACCAAGGTTCCGGTTCTAACCTGGAGGGAAGGATGCATGGGAAGGATTCGATCCTTCCCTTCCAGCTTCTGAACACTGATCTGAAAAGGGGTTGGCATTCGTCCTGTCTTCTGTTCCTCCCAGACAGAGGTCGGAGGCATTGACAGGTGAAGCCTCAACCTTCCCACCAGTAAAATGGGCTGTTGTTTGTTGAGCCCTGACTGTGTGACTGAGTTTGATCTTTATTTGCCCTTGGACAAATGGGATGACTTCTTGGTGTCTTGCTGATGAAAATGAGGAATGAACGATAGATTGTCAACATCTGCACTCACGTGGCTGTCTCACGTGGCACTAGTGAGATAGTGCATGGGGCGTGTAGACTCGGTGAGGATGCGTGAGGACCTTGGATTACAATGGTGATGGGCATTCAGGGACCTTCACCAAAAAGACCTGAGTATTTCCTCCCCTTAACCCTCCTCTCCCTGCCTCTCCCCTGACCTCCCCTCCCCCTATCTTCTTGCTTCTTTGCTACCAGTGAAGCACCCAGGACCTCACACTCACCAAGCAAGGCCCCACGACTGAGTCTCTTGCCCACTCCATCCTTTCATTTTTATATATTGAGACAGGGTTTGCCTAAGTCATCAAGGCTGGCCTTGAGCTCACTCCTTAGCCCAGGCTGGCCCTGAGCTCACTCCTTAACCAAGGCTGGCCCTGAGCTCACTCCTTAGCCCAGGCTGGCCTTGAGCTCACTCATTAACCCAGGCTGGCCCTAAGCTCACTCCTTAGCCCAGGCTGGCCTTGTGCTAACTCCTTAGCTCAGGCTGGCCTTGAGTTCATTCTAAACCCACTCCTTAGCCCAGGCTGGCTGTGACCTCACCTGCCCTGGTAGCTAGTGGGTGTCACCACACTCAGCTCATTATTTTTCTCATTTCTAGTTTTCTTCTTCTTTCTCTCTTCATCCCGCTCTCCCTCGGCTTCCTCACCTTCCAGCTATGTCTGATATCTTCACATACCTCTCATGTCTCCCCCACACGCCTGATTTCAGATTCTCCAGCTCAGAGCCTGAGGATTTATAACGAACTTATCAATCATGCAGGCCAGACGGGACAGTACCTGCCTGTAATCCCAGCACTGGGGAAGTAGAAATAGGTGGATTATGCATTCAAGGTCAGCAAGTTTGGAGCCAGCCTGGGCTACCTGATACCATCTCAGAAACCTGACCAAATCAAGCCAAACCAAACATTTATAAAAATTGGACACTTTATTAACATCGACCCCCATGAGGCCCTTCTGTTTGACTCTTAGACTTCCAGGTGGCCTCAAAGGCTCTGGCTCCTGGGCCGTACCCCTCATTTCATTTGGGGGGTGTTTCTGAAAGAGTTTCTACACCCTAACCTAGGAACAAGGGCAGTCTTCCTCCCAGCTCTGTCCCTTTCCAAGTGCTGGCAATGGAAATATCTCGAAAGAGGCAGCGATTTTTCTTCCCCCGAGATGAAGGCAGCCGTGCTGTGCAAGACTCTGCCTTGTTATCAGAAAATTAGAGTGGGAAAGAGCCTTCCGTGCAGCTACGGAGACATCTTAATAGACACTTTGGTTGTTACGCAGAAGTTTCTAGATCGGCTTAATTGCTGTAAATGTTATTTGCCTTCCCTGTTATGATAAGGCCTCGAGTCTCTGGTATCTTCCCCCTCTTCCCTTCCACCAGTTTCCCTTTGCTCTGAGGCCGAGGCTCGCGTTGGTAAGTTTAATGAAACCCAAACAAAGGAAGCAGAGGGAGACTCTTGGAGTTTGAATCTCACGCCCACAGAAGAAGCCGAGCCTGGGGAGCAATGGCTCCAGACTAATGAGACTTTGCAGCTTAATGCAGTTGACAGGATGTACCCCTCAAGCCGAGCCCGAAACGCCAAAGCCAGCCCTGGAGCTTAATTGCATCTGCCCTGAGCAAAGGGGCCGGATAGGGACTAAGTACAACACTGAGCTAATGGGAGATGCTCATAGCCCGAGATGACGCAGCCTGGGGCCATCATCTGAGATACTTTATTTTTAGGGGACGGGCATTTATAGAAACTTCCAGATCAGGAGCCTCAACCTTGATGCGACTGATTCTTGGGATGCTTTAACTTGTTAAGGGTATGGGGAGAAGTCTCACCTGTGTATAAAAGGATGCTCAACAGAGCCTCTGGCTCCACCCCACTAGCTGCCAGTAACAAACTCCCAAACACAGTGTGACACCCCAGAATGTCTTCAGAAATCTCCAAATCCCCCCAAAGGTTTGCCTGGGAGCTGAGGATGTGAACGCAAGGCCATTCTCAGTCCCTTTAGGGAGTCACATTTACATTTGCTCCTGCCAGTTCCTGACTGTGTGACCTTGACCTGGTCAGTGCGCTCGTCCTGAGCTCCCTTGCCTTCCTTTGTACAAAGGACATAGCTAAGGCACTGGATGCAAGGAGGCAGAGCTGCTGGTTATTAGGTACCCAGAGGATCTCGGCACATACTAAGTGTTCAATTAACTGTTTCTGTTGTAAGAATCTTGACTTCACCAAACGTGTGTTAAGAGCATACTCAGCCATAGGCACGATGCTCTGAGGTGAGTGCCAAGGTGAAGATTTGATTATTGCTTTTGTGGAGGAGGTAAATCCGCACAAGATGTGTAAGGACTGCATCCTTCCTTGCTCGTGACAGACATTACTAATCAATCTCAAGATTTGTTAGCAAACCTCCTTCCTCAGGTATGGCAGACATTAGCAATCAGTCTCGCTACTCTTGCTCTCAGTCCTTCTCAACTCAGCTCTAGTCAGGCATTATTAATGGCCCATGAGTGGACTCTCTTTAGTACTTCCTGTTTTGTAGATTTCTCATAGGAGGTTGACCTTCCTTTCCTGTCCAGCCTTTCAGAGTTAATGGGTAATGTCTTTTCATCTTTTCTCTCACGTCAGTCTGAAAGAGGGGTTGACATAGAGAATATTTTTTCAAGAGCACTGCCTTCCTTTTTATCTCCCTCAGAAACTGGACGAAGTAGTAAAACGGGCTTTGTTAAGCATTCTGCAGGCTGTGGGGCTTACAGGTGTGTCAGGTCGCCTCCTCAGTTTTCTTCAGCATTTGGGGCTTGGAAAATCATCAGCTCTTGAGAAAGGAAGGAAGGAAGGAAGGAAGGAAGGAAGGGAGGGAGGGAGGAAGAGGTTCCAGCTTTGCAAGGGTGGCACAGAGGTTTCTGAAAACTGCTTTTCAATCACTGTGACCATCCCCAGATAGAAGAGAGAGCCCACTGGGGTTAACTGCTCCCGATGTGTTCTGACATGCCCAGCTCTCCCAATGAGAGCGACACTCCATGACAATGCCTGTGAAAAATGAGGCAACACATCTGCAACCCTGAAGCCCCCGGCAGGCTCCATCCATCTGGCTGAGAAGTGGGCGCCGGCGTGAGCTTGGCCGATTGCCTTTCTCCGGGACTGTCCAAGGCAGCACTAGCTCACGCTGCAGCTGTTGGTTTATGTCTGCTGCCTGCAAGGTCTTCCAGGAGGCTGCTGGCGGGGTGGGGGGGGGCGGGGGGGGCGGGGGGGTGCAAGCAATGGGGGTGGGATGGGGCTTATGCGCAAGGTCTCAGAGGACCTAGAACTTGGTCATTTGTGACTATATGGTTTGCTCATATTCGAGCTAAAGTGTGAAAAGAAAATAAAGGGCTGGAGCAGGCAGTCTGAAGTCTACGTGCCTTATTATTTTTTTCTCATTCTTATTTGTCCACCATCTGTCCATCCATCCATCCATCCATCCATCCATCCACACACCCACACACCAAGCATTTCCCATGCATACATGTAGCCACCCACCTCTCCTCCATCACACACTCTCCTTCATCCATCTACCCACTTACCTGCCCATCCGTCATCCATCCGGATAGCCGTCCGTCATCCCTGCACTACGTCATCCCCCGCACTACGTCATCCCTGCGCTACGTCATCCCTGCGCTACGTCATCCCTGCGCTACGTCATCCCCGCGCTACGTCATCCCCGCGCTACGTCATCCCTGCGCTATGTCACCCCTGCACTACGTCATCCCCGCACTACGTCATCCCTGCACTCGGGTGCTCACTCACTCACCCACTTGCTCTAGTATGAGTTGGGGTTGCACACAGCAGGACGGTCTGAAAGTTGTCAGCAGTATCCGAAGGGTTTTCCACGTAGAGTCTGTTCGACTTTGCTCTTTCTTTTCATGCGTTTGTTATATGCAGCTCAGACCGGCCTCATGCACGGGAGGCACTCAGCCTACACCAGGCATGTGCTAAGAACCATTAAGCTGAGGTCATGCTGGGCTGTATTCTTTCCACAGTGCCCTCCCCACATTCTCCCTCCCTCCCTCCCTCCCTCCCTCTCTCCCTCCCTCCTTCTCTCCCTCCCTCCCTCTTTCTCCCCCCCCTCTCTTTCTCTTCTATTTTTAGATTACAGAATGTAACTTTTAATTAACCAATGGTGTATGCATGTGGGCACATGTGTGGTCAGAGGCCAGCTGCTAGGAGTCAGTTCTCTTCCTCCACCCTGTGCGAGGGACCCAGGCGTCAAACTCGGGGCTTCCGCTTGGCAGCGAGACCCTTTATCCATCCACCTCACCAAATCACACATGCGGCTTCTTTCTTCTTTTATTCTTTCCTTTTATTTTTTTTAATTTTTTTGAGACAGAACATTACTGTGCAGCTCAGGATGACCACCTTGAACTCATAATCCTCCTGCCTCAGCCTGACTGCCGCAGTGACTGGTGTGGGGAACCACACCTGACCCCGGCTGACATATTTGAAGGCATCTGCTGCCTGCCCTACCTGGGAAGCCTCCTATTAGTCAAGCCCACGACTTAACCAGGGGCTCCACCTGGCATGGCTCTGCAGGCCAAAACAACCAACACCCTACCTGAGGCCAGTAGGTGGGGCTCCTTTTGGTTTCCAGGGACCAGGCAGGCAGAGGTGGCTCAGCTCTTGACCCTTCCTGTCTGTTCTTCTCTCCACAGACACGCTGTCTGTACCACGGTGGTCACCGCAGATCCCACGCAGAGACCTTGGCAACTCCATTAAGCACAGGTAGGTAGGAGACTGTGCCTGCGTGTGTCGGGGGCGGTGGTGCTGGAACTGGTGGGCGCCGGTAATGTGTCCATCCTCAGCTTCCACACCACCACACCCTTTTGTCTTTTGTTGGACCGAGGTGGGTCTGCACCGCAGCCTTGCCCTTAGCAAATCTACACAGGACAGTAAAAAACAGAGACATTATGCTCACTCTGACCTGGGTTCCAGTCCCTCCTGATAAAGCTTTGTAGCCATGAGAAATTGCATACCCGCTTTGAACTCCATTTTTTACAATGTTTTCATTATAAAAAAAAATCACACAATATACAATGAGAGAAATAAGGGAAGACCTTGGGATAGTATAATCAAGATCTTTAAAGAAATAACATTAAACTGTCATTCATGAACCACGCCCAGCAGGCTAGAGAGTGTGACATCAAACCATAGTTAGAGAAGAAACTTTGATTTTTGTAGGAATAAGTTCATACATTCTGCCTATCAATGAGATGATGTATTAAGGGCTGTGCACATACCTTACTGATATGGTAAAGTACTTCAGGCTCCAAATGGAGGCTCTTTACCCAGGAAACTCAAGATGGCTAGCTAAACTTGTTGCTAGAGGTTACTGGAGAGCAGCGGACCAGCAGGAGGCCTTTCCAGGATCCTCATGGCCTGGAATTGTTTCCAACAACTTCTTGACTCTCCCAAGTTCAGCTTTCTAAAGGTTACCCCAGTCTCCTCACAGAACCAGGGGAGAGAGGGGGAGCTGAGTCAGGCCAGGATGGTGAAACTCTGACAGAGGAGCTGATGAGGCCCTGGCCAATGAGGGAGGGGCCTGGATGCTAATTATGCTCAGTCCCTGTGATCTGAGAACCCCTGGTGAGTTTCTGTACCTGAGGGAGCCTTGGATGCCTCGTTGGCTCCTTCATGGAGCCTTCCCTCCAACCTGTAGGATTCTAATGTCTGTGTCCCTGGGGAGCTGGCCAGTTATCCGAGGGTCTGTGGACACAAATTGACAGTCCCCAGAGGTCTGTCAGCCAGGCTGAGGGGAGAAACCCCGGACACAGACACAGCCTCAGCCTGGGGCAGGGCTGCTCTCTCTCCTCATGACAACTCAGCTCCAGTTCTTAAAGAAAAATGTCACAGCCGGAACCCTTGGTGGAAGCTGTGAGGAGCAGTGCTGGACAGGTCAGTCGGAGACCAGAGGCTGAGCTGTGGCACCAAGGGGACTCAAGATGAGGGCCTTTTCAAATGTTTCTGGTTTAGCTCTACCCCTGGGGTGGCCACAGTCCCTCATTCAGTCCGCCTCTTTGTCACACACATTTCTGGCCCGGTCACCGTTCCAGTTTGGTCACACTTGTGGCTCAGCCACACCCCTGGGTTCTGCCTCAGCCGCACCGGGAGCGGCTCCACCCCTGGGCTTTCCCTGGAAGCTGGTGGTACCCCAGCCTCTGATGCTGACGTCAAGGGGAATGAAGCATGACCAGCTTGGGCCCCAGAGCTGGCTTCCTAGTGAGGAAAGAGCCCCTGATGGGTGTTGTTCTTCCGCCTTGCCCACCCTGCATTTCCCCCCTGGCTGGGTGTCAATCAGGTGGGAGAAACTCCCAGCAGGGTTAAGAGATTACATTAACATCCCATTCCCTGTGCTGTCGGGGGTAGTGGTGTACGCTCCCGGCACACAGCGGGGTGAGATGGTGAGTTAGGAGTTCAAGGATAGCCTGGGCATCGTAATAAAATCCTGTCTCACAAAAAGCACCACCACCACCAGCAGCTCTCACTCTTTGTCATTGGAATTATCACAGCAAGAGCCGGGCAATAGAGAACATCCACCCAGGGGACAGGACAAAGCTGAAGAGGAGAGAAAACTGCCACCGGACCCTGATACCCGCCCCCCAGTCCTATGTTGCTGCTCTATGGGTCTTTTGCCATCCCCTCCCCTGAGTTGCCCCAGCTTGCAGAATAGACCGCTAAGCGCTGCTAAAACCCAAAGGGGCTTAACCAAGCCCGAGAGCAAAGCTGGGGAGGGAGCATCTCAAGCCAGCATCTCCGCTGTGGATATTGCTGTTTGCTTAGCTGTAGCAGCCCCAGGCTGCCGCTGGCTCTGGCTCGCTGTGTTTGAAGGGCTGACCCAGATCCCGCAAGAGGGTAGGCAGAAGGAAGCAGCCCGCCCCCCTCAAAGTTCTCCATCTCTGAGTTATGTAACCACGTCCAAGTTTCCCCTTTGACACTCGGAGGAGGCAGTGCAGATTACGTACAACTACTGCCGACGGTGGCACAAATTGAAAATTAAAATTAACTGTGACCCGGGAACCTTCAATACCTTTGCTGGATCCAGCCCCCACCTCTGTGTCTTATCTCAAGGCAGAAAGCACATCGCGGCACAGGAGGGGTGATCTGCAAGTTAATCTAATAACTTCCAGGTGACCTTGGTGACTGTGATGCGTGGGGGCTTCCACACGGTATTTGCCGCAGGTGGCAGTGTGGGGGAGGGTGAACCGGTGTTGTCTGAAAAGGTTTTTGTTTGTTGGGGGGCGGGAACTCCACTACTGGATTTGGAGGTCCATTGCTCTCTTACGGAATTGAATTTGCCATTTGTAGCCCAACTCCAGGATGTGTTTAGTGAATAGGTGACCTTAATGAACACTCCAGGTAACAACTGATACAGCCCAACTCATTGAGTATTACCTGTGCGCCAGGTGCTACCAATACACCTGACCCAGTAACCCCTGAGATCACTGTCAAGATTACTCCCACTTTACAGGCAAGGAAACTGAGGCTCCATGGCTTAGGCAACTTGATTGATATTAATTATCACCTGTTCTGGAACAAACAGGGCTGGAATCCAGGGCTTATAGTCTTCCCATTCATCCTGGGGTTCATCCTGCTGGAGAGGGGCCCATGGCCACTGCCCCACCTCGGACATTTCCTGTTTCTTTCTCACAGGTTTTCCACCAAGTATTGGATGTCTCAGACCTGCACCGTCTGCGGGAAAGGGATGCTTTTTGGCCTCAAGTGTAAAAACTGCAAGTGAGTGATTTCCCTTTAAGGAACTTTTTACAATGCCAGATATCAATTGGTACTGAGGTGGGCTTTGGCTCACTCGAGGGAGGAGAGTCACGGGTGAAGCTGTCTGGGTCGGTTATCACGGAGAACGGTTCTGATAAAGTCGACTAAAGTAACATGTGCTGGGGCTGGTGGGGTCTCCCATGCTCAGGGCCTCTATTGTGGCTGTGAATGTGAAGAGTGTCCCACAGCCTCATGTGATTGGTTGCTTCGCTGCCAGCTGATGTTTCGGATCCTTTTGGACACGGGGTGGGCGTCTGACTGGCAGCCACTGGGTTATAGGAATAGAGGTTACCTGTCCTAAGCCAGCTCCCCTTCTGCCCCAACTTTTCCTCACTGCTGCTGCGACAGGACCTCGTGCCCTCACCACTAGACTCTCCCACCGTGATGGACTGTGTCCCCCGATTTATAGTTGTTCCACATATTCTGCACAGAAAAAGTAACTAATACACTGTCGGAGATCAGTCACCAGCTGATTTCTCTTCTAGCTGCCCTATAGTAAACCTTTTAAGTAAGCTGCATGGTCCTCAAGGCCTCGGTGTTTCCCTTGGAGCTTCTCAAAACCAACTCGTATATTTTGAAAGTAGCCACAGACAATTGAGAAATAGGTATGGCTATGGATTTGGTCTAATAGTTGACAGCTTGGGTCCAGCCCTGTGGTTTGCTGATAGCTTTGATAGTTTGCAAAGTTCTTTCCCTTCTGCTCTTTCTCATCCTGCCCTGTCTCTGAGAGTGTCTTATGATTTTCCCATTTTATATCTGTAAAAACTGTGTCTCCACTTGGAAATGTCACAGCTAAGAAGTAGGAGTGAGGACTTGAACTCATGCCCCTTCATTCCTACTCCATTTCTTTCTTTGGCTTCATGTTGGCTGCTTATTCCGGCCAAGAGGTGGGAATACCTTGGCCCCCACTCCTTCCCCTTCCTTGTACACATTCTCTGTTATGACTGACAGAAGATTAGAAAGAAGATAAGAGAAAAATTGACACCAGCCATGGGCTCTGGAGGCAGGTTAAACCAGGTTCAAATCCTGTCCCTGCCATTTAATAGCTGTGTGACCATAGACACATCCCCTCATACTACTGTCCTCATATGCCCCCCTGTATGTATCCACACACATGTCTTAACTACCTACTCAGGTCCAGCGACTCCACAACTGACACGCTTGACTGTATGGAAGAGATAGGGGTAGATATGTGTCTGCTAGAGACACTTGGTAAGAGTCTCCCCACCCCTCGCCTGAGCAAGTTAGCCACAGTGCACTCCCTGCTAGCCTGGGCTGTGGGGAGGAGTAATTATTTCCAGCCCCTGGGAATCCTTTAGCTCATGGCCTAAGGGTGATTGGGAGAGTAATTGCTGTATGTTAGCCTTCTGAGCTGCTGTCCTCTGTGGTTCCGGGCTCTCCCATGGCTCCTCAGCTTTCCGACTCTGAGTTGCACAGGGGCAGGTGCTTAGGTTTGGCTCAGAGGCGGCCTGATCTCCCCAGTACACCTGCTGCCTTGGAGTCGTCTTGACTGCATCATGTCGTGCTGTGTTCTGTGGGGGAAATGGCTTTCACATCCTCACACCTGCTGCGTGGAGGCTTTGAAGTCAAGTAATTAGGTGACAGGGACGCAGCCAGGAGTCAGTGAGGCCGAACACTCCTCAAGCCTTTTCAATTTTCAGCACTGGAGGTGGGACCCAGAGGTGGCTTTCCTCCCTGCCTTCTGTTTTAGGAGTAATGAGCAAAGCCTGAGACCCTGCCAGGGATTGGGAGAGGGGGCTGGGGACAGGAGAGAGGGACAGTCACATGGAGCTGAGGCTTTGGAAGTCAACGTTGCTAAGTTTGGGTCCCATTTCTGCTTGAAGTCTCAAGAGGCATGCCATCTTGACCTTCTTCTCTGAAGAGCAGACGTGATACTGGAGCCTATGACTGGACTTCTGGGGGGTGGGGAGGAGTCACTGACATGCCCTCGCCTCACACTGCTATCCAGGAGCGTTTCCTCCACCGCCTCTTACTCTGCCTTATGCCATGCAGCTCCTGGCACATGGAAGGGTGAGGTCAGAGTTCAGATCAACTCTGCTTGGATGGCATCCATGACTTCTCCAGTGTGCTCAGCCCTTCAACCGTATCAGTTGCTGCTGCAGCTGGTATGGAACCCAGGGGTGAGTCTGTCCCAGCCACACACCTCTGTCAGCTACAACAGGAACAGGGCCTGCTCCGTGTCATAGCTGTACAGGCGTACTGAGGCTCGCAGCTGAGACCCGCACTTATCTTGCGGATAAAGTCCCTGGGAGCTTTGGTTAAAGTGAGAAGGTCAACGTTTATTTGCGTGTGTTTGCCAGGACCGACAGAAAGGTGGGGGAATAAGTCTGAGTGGAACTGAAGGACAGCAGTGGCCCTGAGAATGAGGGGGCTGGAGGTGGGCAAGGCTATCTCACCTATCATTCAATTAACGCTTGCCTGCTGGATAATCATTATTGCAGATTAAGACGCCGTTCTCTGTAGTGCTTGGGACCCAAAGTGTTTTTACGTTTGAAGTGCATTCTGACTTTGGAAGATCTGAATAATGCAGACATTTGCATACGTGATGCTGCGGTGTCTTGGAGATGAGACCCAAACTTCATTGGTGCAGGGCTTTTGGTGAACGCATATTTAAACTCAGGTTAGGCATGGGGTTGCTCCACCTGTGGCCCTGTGGGAGCTCAGAAAGTTTCACACTGGAAGCCATTTTGGATTTCAAATTTTTGAACTAAGGATGTTTAGTTTTAAAACATTAATACTGTGTACCAAGGGGTTTTCCAGGCACCAGAAGCAACAACAGGAGATAAAATGGACAAAATCCCCGGACTGGTGGAATTTATCTGTGGGTGGAGTGGGAGACAGGTAGATGGAGAATGAAGTCAATTGGCTAAAAGGATGGTGTGATATTGAATGATATTGGCTACTGTAAAGAACAGAGCAAACACGATGCCATGCATGGAGACTTGTCATCTCAGTAGTCAGGTCTGGAGCTGAGGCACAGCCTGGGCTGTATAGTGAGACCCTGTTCAAAGAAACAGGGAGGGAGGGAGAAGGGAGGGCGAAGAAAAGGAGGCAGAGGAGGAAGGAAGAGGGAAGAAAAAGAGGAAGGGAGAAAAAAGGGAAGGAGAAGGAAGGAAAGGATGGAGGGAGGGGAAGGAAGGGAGGGAGGGAGGAAGAGGGAGGGAGGGGAAGGCCATAGTAAGAGGTTACAGTTTTAATTCAAGGGCTCTGGGAATTTTCAGCTCACCTCTCACCTGGGTCTTGTGTATCATCATCTGTTCAGAAACGCTCATGGTATGTGTGTATGTAAGACATATGGCTTCCTGACTGTGGGTGCCACGTGACCAGCGTGTGGCTCCTGCCACCACGTCTTCCCAAGCGTGATAGCCTGTACCCTCAAAGTGTGAGCTGTGGCAAACCCTTCTCCCCTTAAGTTGCTCCTGCCAGGCACTTGGCTATAGCAGTGAGATTAGTCACCATTGCAACTGTTAAGAAGAAAAAGGTAAACAAGACAATTACCCTCCGGAGTGCTTGCCCCTCCCTCACCTGGCCCATTATGAGTGTTAATTAATGGACGCTAACACCATTACTGGCTTGACAAATAAACGTTGGGATATCCCTCCACCCAGGAAGCCAGAGACTTCTCCTTCGTGTCTGTCCCCTCTTCCCCCTCCGCAGCTCTCCTCTTAAGTGCCCACTTCCTCCGGAATCATCATCAGCTGTGTTGTTGGGAGTCTGAATAGATTAATGAGCTAATGGGAAATTAAGGCTCCGAAAGCAATTTCCAGTTATCTAAATCGAGGCGTTCTCATCTAATCGGTTCAGGAGTGTGGAAGGGAGCTGCGTGCAGAGTGGTCGAATGTCCGCACTCTCCCTGCATTGTTTCACAAGTGTGGATGCAGCTGCCAGGGTTTGCTCTCCTGCACACTGGGATGGATGCTGATGGGTTTCCCAGCTTTTGGCTCGGCGCTGTCTGTGATCCACCCTCCTCACCTTCCACGGGGGTCTGAAGTGCTGATGTCTCATTTATAGGGATCCTCTCTAGCCTCTCCTCCCAGTCCCGTTTTTAGAAGCCACTGTGTAGCTCAGACCAGCTAAGAACTCAGCTATGTAGCCCAGGCTGGCCTCAAACTTGTGATCATCCTCCTGCCTCATGCTCCCCAGTGCTAGGATTATGTATATGCACCACCACACCTGACTCTGTCCAGTTTCTTATAGGCAGATAGTAATTTACACAAGAGTGTCTTGAGTGACTTTTGTCTTAGAGAAAGAGAACTGAAACTGAGATGCATTTTTCTTTCTGTCTGACCTCCTGCGGGGTGATAAAGATAGGAGCATCTGGGGCTGGAGAAATGGCTTGGTAGTTAAGCGTCTTTTACCGCTCTTTCAGAGGACTGGAGTGCAGGTCTCAACATCCGCATCGGGCTGCTCACAACTGCCTATAACTCCAGCTCCAGTCGGGTCTGATGCTCTCTTGTGGCCTCTGAGGGACCTGAAGTCATGCACACACACACACGCACACACACATACACACACACACGCACACACACACATAGATGCACATACAGACACTCAAGTAATTTTCATAAAGAATGAGACATTATCCCAAGCCATCAGTACACACATAACATCTAAACAATCCCTGCTCGTTTTAACTGCTGCATCCTCTCTTCCACACCATGCTTTAACTCTAGTTAGGCCAATAGGAAAGGTCCGCACAAGGTGTCAGATAGGGGAGGCATCACTGCCACTGGTTTAGAGAAACAGGTTTGCATAATGGATCGCCCACTCGCAACCAACGAGGGGATTGCAGCCTGCACGATCCGGTTTGAGCATGCCAGCTGCCAGACATTTGCCCAGCACAACCAGGAACCCGTTATTATACCTTCACCCCGTGGGGTAAGCGATTAGATTCCCAGCTTGAGGTTTTTAAGGATGAATTATGGGATTTTTTTTCACTC